AAATCATAGAATCACATTGACCTGTTAGAAAATGTGCACCCCTTAGATTAAACAAGTTAAATGTCAGTAAATATTGGATTATTTCTGGAACGCAAAATATTGGCTTTATGCAAGCAGTTTCTATAAATGCTTTTTTAAATATTCCAGTATTGTAATGCATTTTGTAATGCATACTCTTAGTTCTAATGTTATTTAGAATAGTCCTAGAGATCCATTTTCCAGTATATTTTGAATAAAGGACTTTTATCCTGAGCAATTTTTGACTGTGGTAGGAACAAACCCCAAATGTTTACAGGAACAGCTTCCATTGTATATTATATAAACAAAGGAAAGAAGCTTGTAACAGCAAATAATAATTGCAACAGGCAGTATCTTTTTGGTCAGTAAAAAGAGAGAAATCCTAAGTAGGAAAATGCTTCACAGACATATTTTTTTTAAAAAAAATGCTGAAAATAATATCCTTTACCTACAATTCTGATGGCATCTTTCACAGATTCTGTGAATTTCAGCTGAGAAATCTCTGCATCTTCCCACATGTCATCTATATTGCCTGCAAAGGCGCTGGCCCAAATTCCTGCAATAGAAGTGAAGCAAAGAGATTTTTCAAATCATTACAGACTGGTACTACTTTCTGAGGATTCAGCTGAGCATCATTTATGGATCGCTATTATTATCAGTTTGTGCATTTTCTCATCCCTACACACTACTATCAGTGAAGTCAAGAAGCAGCAAAGGTTGATTCACAGTAATGATACCAAGATCCAACTACTATATACAGTAGTGGCCAAAATTGTGGAAACCTTTTGGGAAAAGTGTACAGTAGAAATGCCACCTTTGGTTAAGTTTCCACCTATTTTTCTTCTAATTTCTTTATAACTGTAGCCTTGTTCACTTAATAATACTATTTTACACTTTTTGGGCAACCAGTCAACTCTTTGCACCATTACTTTAATTTTATTATGTTTTACAAGCTCACTAAATGAAAGGAAAAAAAATACCCTGACAAATGTCCTCCTCTCAGCTTCAATACATGACATCAATAACTGAATCCTACTGTGATCTGATTGGCTCATTGCCAAAACAAGATGACACCTGATTAGCTCTCTAAACACTTATGCTCATTGGCTACAATCAGATGAAGGAAAGCTACCTGATATCAACTTAAGCAAGTTGTCCTTTTTCTGGTTATTTGGCTATAACGTTTCATAGAATACAGTACAGATAATTGAACAAACTTTGTTGCATTACATTTTTTATTAAATTATCTTTCCAATGATATATAATTTTATGATACTACTCCAAAAAAGGGGTGTTATTAGCCATCAAAGCTCAAAAATACACTTTTCCCAAAAGGTTTCCACAATTTTGGCCACTACTGTAGGTAGTCCTCGACTTATAGCCATTCATTTAGTGACATATTCAAAGTTACAATGGCACTGAAAAATTGACTTATGACCATTTTTCACACTTATTACCATTACAGCATCCCCATGGTTACATTATCAAAGTTTGCATGCTTGGCAACTGATTCATATCTATGATGGTTGCAGTGTCCTGGGGTCATGTGATCACCTTTTGCGACCTTCTGACAAACAAAGTCAATGGTCAAACTGTAAGGCACAGGATGAAGCAAATTAAGAAGATTTGCTTTGATTCATTAATACCTGGTGTGAGTTTTCTTATTGTGGAATATGTAGGGTTTACACTCCTTGACATTTGAGTTCAGATGACAGGATCAAAAATGGTAATAGGGACAAAACAGTTATAGCCATGCCATACAATACTCTTCAAAATAGAATCATTCTCAGATAACTGAATTGAATCAGTTATCCAATTGCCAAGCAGCCAAACTCACAATGAAAAGCAAAACAAGCATTATTTGAAATAAAGAAGTGGATCAGGTATATCTTGACTGCACAATTTCACTGCACTTAATAACAGTGTATTGGAATAACACTTTGCATCAGAGGCTTAGCTATAAAGTAATAAATTTGTGAAAATTATAGACTAACAATTGAGAGACATTTTTTTTAACCCACTTATTGGATATGGTGATCATAGCATGCACTCTGGATTTCTAAATCAACAGTGATGAAGACCAGTGCTGGTGAGTTTGATTTAAGAGAAGAGTGGGGGGCTAAGGAATGCAGAATTTGTGTCCTTTCATAGAGGACTTTATCCAAAAATCACTTTATTTATTTCTTTTATTTATTGAACTAATTTATACAGCTGCCTAACTCCCACATAGGTGATTCCAGGCAACTTACAAAATTTAAAAAATCCACCATCTAATAAGAACCCATTAAAATGCCCTCCATGGCAGCAACCACACAAGCAAATCAGCCACTTGATTGGATTTGCCTCCATCTGTCCCCATTTATAAGATGTCTAGCCCATTTTTATTAATAAAAAACCTCAAAGTAGAGAAACAGCAAATTAAAACAGTTTACAATAAATTTAAACAATTTACAATAAATATAATCCCTATAAACAAAATGTTACATGGGTAAAAAAAAATTCAGTTGGTTAGTAAAAATAATAATAATAACCACCTCATCACCAGTTTATGACCTTACCTTGGAGGAAACAGATTCTGGGCTCTTCATGTTTCTCAAGCAATAGTCCCATGAAAAATTTACTGCCATAGTCTTCCATGCGTATAAAAGCCCCATATTTATGAATACCAAATTCATAGGGTGTATATTCAACCCATTCTAAGGAAAGAAAGAACATTAGCTCTAAAAGTTCTTAGTCACATTACTATTTTCTTCGCCGAGACCATATATACCTTTCTTAGATTTATACCCACCTTTTGTTCAGGAGCTCAACTTGATGTACTCCCACTTCCCATTTTCCCCAAAGCAAAAACTTAGAGAATATCTTTTTGCCTCTGACTTCATTTCCACCTTTGCTTTATCCAGAATGGAGAAAAATTAACTTTGCGTGGTTTCAGACTGCATTTGATTTTAGCTACCTTGCAATCCAGTTTCAATCCAATCCTCTTACCTGTAAATTCACTGGTTTTAATATTCATCCTCACATTTTGAGCTGCATAAATAGGATAGGGATTTTGTCCCTTTATGACTGCTTTCTGTTGGTCAGATAGCTTTGTTGGGTCCTTCTGGGTACAATAAAGTAAAACATTACAGTCAGTTGATATACACTTAAGTTTTGCAAGTGAAATTCTTAACAGCATTATACTCTGCTATACTTTCCTCAGTCTGGCTGCCTTCTGATAATTACAGAAGTTTCAGTTCAACACATTAGGGTAGTGTTTCTCAACATTGGCAAGTTTAAATTGAGTGGACTTCAATTTCCAGAATTCCCCAGCCAGCATACCAGCTGGATAATTCTGGGAACTGAAGTCCTCATCTTAAAGTTGCCAAAGTTGAGAAATACTGCATTCGGGGATGCTAAGAATGAATAATAGCACCTGGCTAGAAATGAATAAGTAAGTACTCATAAAACAAACTCAAATTTTTGTTAAATATTAAGAATCATGTTTACCACACTAAAAGTTAATCAATAGTTCTGCCCATTTAAATTACCTACATTTACATCTCCTTCATCTTTAACAGCAATTCCCACTAATATCTAAGATGTACCATTCTTATAGAAAATAAATACTGTTCATATTTTGGTCATTTAGTTCATTGGAAAGCTAATGTGTTCTCAGCCATCATAACCTTCAAACATCACATAATTAGTCCATCAATCCCATACAGGATTAATACTATAACATTAAACTTTCAACATCATCCTATTAAGCAATACACAATGACATACTTTCATTTGTTTTCTCTGCAACTTGGGACATATTCAAAAAGTATTATTCAATCAAGAAATTATAACCATTATATTTATTCTATTTATAATAATACTTTAGTATTTTTTTTAATCTATAGTGCCTTTGAGTCATTAGTGACATCTGCCAGCTACCTGGACTGGTTCAGGCAGTTTCTTGGTAAGATTTTCAGAAGTGGTTTGCCATTGCCTCTGAGAGAGAGATAGAGATAGAGATAGAGATAGATAGATAGATAGATAGATAGATAGATAGATAGAGAGAGAGAGAGAGAGAGAGAGAGAGAGAGAGAGAGTGAAAAACAGAGGGAGAGGAAAGAGAAAGAGAGAGAGAGAGAGGACAGAGAGAGAAAGAGAGAGAGAGAAAGAGAGAAAGAGTGAAAAACAGAGGGAGAGGAAAGAGAAAGGGAGAGAGGGAGAGAGAGAAAAAAGAGAGGGAGGGAGAGAGAGAGAGGAAGAGGAGAGAGGGGGAGAGAGGAAAGAGAGAGAGAGAAAGAGAGGGAGAGAGAGGGGAAAGAGAGAGAGAGAGAAAGAGAGAGAGAGGAGAGAGAGAGAGAGAGAGAGAGAGAGAGAGAGAGAGAGAGAGAGAGAGAGAGAGAGAGAGAGAGAGATTCAAAATCACCCAGCTGGTTTTGTGCCTAAGGCAGGATTAGAATTCACATCTCCTTGTTTTATCCTGCTGTTCTTAATCACTACACCACTATCACCAACTACCACAACTACATCAAATTGGTTCTCTCTTAGTAATAAAACATTTTAGTTATTACTGAAGTATTGCATTTATTTCTAGTCTTAAAGTTAGAAACAAGCTACCTCATAATATTGTAATTCTTCTTTCACAAATTATAGGATTCAAATTTTTACCTTGTTGTTTAGGATGTACTCTATGATCAGGCCCCATAAATCCACAAGGGTAGCTTTCCTTCCTGTTTTCTCCCAGGCAATTAACTCCTGAAAATAATATGCTAGTTGTTCAGCAGAAAATGCCCCAACTTTTCCACTTGTTACAATTTTCTGAGCATTGTCAATTGTATGCTGGAGATTTCTTTGGGACCAGTAAGCATCTTTGTAGAGCATGGACATAGACCTACCAAAATCATAATTTTGAATATCAGTAAAAAAAATAAGACATGGAATATCTACAAATAATTCCAATATTTAATAGGCAGTAAGTCAATTGCCTGGATGTCAGGCATAGTTTCTCTTGGAAAACATATTCCATTATGACTGGAGTAAGGTCAAATACTGCATCTCTGATTTTAGTGCTATACTGCAAAAAAGAGAAATATATTAGGAAAAGAATTGGGTTAGGATAAATTCTAAGCTCATTTAAGCCATTGTAATAGTAAGGAGTGTGGTTTAAACCTACTATGATAAAAAGTTTTTTTTCAATGAAATATTCTCACTAAATTCTAGAGAGGAACAAAATAATTGTTTTCTCTGTATAGTTTATATTTTAAACTCTTTCTTCCAGTACTATACAAACCACGTGAAATTACCAAATACAACTTCATGGTCAGTTGGACTATTTATTATGGTTCCTCTGTCACATACCTCAAAAATAAAAGCAGATTTAGGGATCATGCTTGCTGGGGATTCTGGGAGTTGAAATTCATACATTTTAAACTTGCCAAGGTTGAGAAACACTGCCTAAATCTCACAGTTTAAAGAGGCCTCCCAGAATTGCAGTTTTTTCCCCCATTAATTACAATTGTATTGTAATTCCATATAAAAATCTTCATAGATTAAGCCTACCCACATGGCTCACTTAACAAAATAAAAGAATAACAAAGTTGGAAGGGACCTTGGAAGTCTTCTAGTCCATCCTCCTGCTCCAGCAGGAAACACTATAACATTTCAGATAAATGTTTGTCCAATCTCTTCTTAAAAATCTCCAGTGTTGGAGCACCCACAATTTCTGGAGGCAAGTTGTTCCACTGATTAATTGTTCTGTCTATCAGGAAATTTCTCCTTAAGTTCTATGTTGATTCTGTCCTTGATTAGTTTCCATCCATTGCTTCTTGTCTTGCCTTCTAGTGCTTTGGAAAATAGGGTGACCCCCTCTTTTTTGTGGCAGCCCCTTAGATATTGGAACACTGCTATCATGTCACCCCTGGCCCTTTGCTTCACTAGACTAGCCATGCTTAATTCCTGCAACCGTTCTTCATAGGTTTTAGCCTCTAGTCCCCTGATGATCTTTGTTCTTCTCTGCACTCTTTTTAGAGTTTTAACATCTTTTTCATATCGTGGCAACCAAAACTGGATGCAATATTCCAAGTGCGATCTTACCAAGGTCTTATAAAGTGATTAAGAGAGGATTTGTTTCTGCATGCAGTTATAACCTCTGTTCAAAGAGGGCCCTTCCTCACTCTATTTTGGTGTTGTACATCTCAGCAGTATTCTTGCTAAGTTCAACCTTATTCTGTTCACACTTGCCAGATACATGTTGAACAGACTATGTCATTTATTTATTTATTTATTTCATTTATACCCCGCCCTTCTCCCGGAGGACTCAGGGCGGCTTACAGCCAGTTTAAAACAATCCCACATAAATACCAAATACAAATCTAAAATAATTAAAAATAAATATTTGAATTGGCCGCTCTATTAAAATTTTGTTAAAACCAATTAAAATACCCCCTAGGCCAGTCCTGCCTG